CCAAAACCCCAAAACCCCAAAACCCCAAAACCCCAAAACCCCAAAACCCCGTCTAACTATAATATGTATTGAAAATCTTAAATAAATAGCAAAATTGATATTCTGAATCAAAGTTTAGCATCTCCAATGATTCCCTTCTTTCTTCCAATATTTATAAATCCATTAACAGCTCTCTAAACATCCTCGGGGGTATGAGCAGCTGAGAGTTGCACTCTGATTCTAGCTTTACCAGTTGGCACTACTGGGTAGCTGAAGCCAATAACATAGATGTCCTCCTTCATCATTTCATCTGCAAACTCTGAAGCAAGTCTGGCATCACCTAAGAGAACTGGGGAAATAGGGCACTCTTCATGACCAAGAATGGTGAAACCAGCTTTCTTCATCTCAGTCCTAAAATGCTTGGTATTTCTTGCAAGACTTTCGAGAAGAGAAGAGTTTTCATCCAGCATTTAATATGCTTAGAGAGATGCTCCAGCTACTGGAGGAGCAATTGAATTGGAAAATAGATAAGGTCTTCCCTTGTTTCTCAGAATATCAACTACCTCTTTGCTGGCAGCAGTATAGCCACCTGTACCACCTCCCATAGCTTTACCAAGAGTCGAGTTAATCACATCTATTTACCCCTCAAGTCCAAAGTATTCGGGTGTTCCTCTACCTGTCTTTCCAATCACACCTGTAGCATGGCACTCATCAACAAATGTGAAGGCACCATATTACTTGGCTAGTTTAACAATATCAGTCAGTGGAGCGATATCTCCATCCATGGAGAAGACTCCATCAGTGACTATGAGCTTCAATCTAGATCCCTCAGCCTCTTTAAGGTTCTTTTCTAGATCTCCCAAATCCAAATGCTTATATCTGAGTCTCTTTGCCTTTGAAAGTCTAATTCCATCAATAATTGAAGCATGATTTAGTTCATCACTAATAATTGCATCATCTGGGGTTAGAACTGCCTCGAAAAAACCAGCATTTGCATCAAAAGCTGAAGGATAGAGGATGCAGTCTTCCATTTTATGAAAAGCAGCAATTCTCTTCTCGAGATTCTTGTGGAGATCTTAGGTTCCGCAGATGAACCTCACACTACTCATTCCAAATCCATATTAATCAATTGTTCTCTTTGCAGCTTCTCTGATTCTAGAGTGATCTGAGAGACCAAGGTAGTTGTTTGCACAAAAGTTCAAAACTCTCTTGCCGTTAACTGTGATGTGAGTGCTCTGAGAACTTGTGATCACTCTCTCACTTTTATATGTTCCAGCTTCTTTAATCTAACTGATTGTTTATCTACACACCTCATTTAGCTCTATAATAAATTTATTTGAACTTTTCATTTGTCAAAATATTGATTTAATCAAATTTTGCATATTGTATAAGCTTTTGAGACTTACTTGAAGAAAATAGTCTTTTACTCAGATTTGGTTACATTTTTCTTTGTAATAGATTTGTTATTAAATATATGTTAAATTTATTTTATCCTTCACAAATCTTTCAAATCTTTTCAATATCCCTTCAAAGGGGTTTTGGGGTTTTGGGGTTTTGGGGG